TTAAACCAAATGATGATTGGATTATTAGTTAGGCGTTGATTAACATGCTTGTTTCCTATTGGTGACACATCATTTATTTTGCAAATTTGGTTTAAAATTTCGATCTCCCTAACATTATTCCCGCTTACAACCGCTCTGGTGATAAAGTGTTTTCTGCTATGAATATTGTCGCTTTGGTTGAACTTTGCACACTTTTGAATTTCGCCCCTCCCCTCGACAAATCCTAGCTTCACCACTACTCACAGGCCACTACAGCAATGACTAGGTTGCTGTTGTTGCATGGGCGACAATCTAGGCTATGCCTGAAGCTATCTCACGAGCCACTGTCGTGCCTACGGTGGTGCTCTATAATGGCAAATTTGCTATGGCCACTGTGCTGAGCCTTAAGGCCTTCATCGTTCATCCATATCCTTAAACGTAGGACACTTTGTTTGTCGTGGTTTCAAAAAAAAATTCCATTGTATGTTTTCCCCAAAGAACCTATAAAAAATTCTAAGAGTAGGAATGTGTGGAAAAATTCAAAACGCAAATGCGATAGCCTTTCATGAGCATTTAATAGGGCTCTCAATGACGGCATCAATTTGTGGTCCATATTCAATCTTAACGAATTTGTACCTACAAAACAATAAACATATGTGATCAAGGGTCAAAGCCTTACGCACCCATAAGTGAAGGGGTTTGGTCAATAGAGCTTCGATGCCTAAGTTACTATCTTTGAAAAGAATAAGTGCTTAAGCTTGTATGCATAGCAAAAACTTACGAAAATTTTGATGGAGACGAGCTATTTATAGGGAGGGAGCCGACCTAAGTGTAGAGTTTTGCCATACACGTGGCGGCTTCCTATTGGCCAAAGGTGATTCATCTATAGGATTGTGGAAAGAATTATCCTAAAATATTAAGTAGAAGATAATATCTTAGGATGAGGATCAATTAGAAGAAGATTAAATATGAGATTTGTTAATCCTATTTTTAATGCCTTTTCTTCCTTATCACGAGTAGGAGAGCTTGGATTGGTAGTCTGCTGCTTTTGCCTCTAAGGATGTTGAACTGCCCGTGGGAATGTTTAATTTCCAATATACGTCGGTGCCTTAAACAAAGGTCTGTGGCCATGTTCAGTGGCTACTCCAACAACTTCGTCAAGTCGTTCTTGGAGAATGATAAGGAATAAGACTGATTATCAGACTCTGGTTGTAGACTAGTGACTTAACTCCTTGAGGTTGCGGTAATTTCTCATGGTATGGCCACCAGCTTACACAATACTCCTTAAAGCTAGGACTCAGATTCAGCATTGGGCATGGCAGGGCTTCCTGAAGAAAGGCTTATCTCAGATCTTATGCAAAATGTTGTTGAGAGAAGTGGAAAAGCCTCTATGATGGTTTTAGATTTTATCATTCGTGTACCCCTCATCTCAGGCGACGATTTCCCCCGCCTTGTCAAAGCACTTTGCAAAGGCTTTGGGCTTGTGGAGCTTACTGCTAAGCTCGAATTCTATAGGGAGTTACTTTTTAAAATTATGTATTTCATATTCGTATTTGTAGTTTCAACACGTTTATATTTACGACGTATAGTTTTTCGATAAGTGAAATGGACGAAAACACCCTTAATGAACTAATCAGAATTCTTCGTGGATATATTTGATCTTTTCGTGATTTGCCAAATGTCTTTATATATTTGGATAGTACGTGTTGATATGAACGCATGAGCACAAGCTGAATCGAATTTGGAACTATAACGAAGATTTTACGAAGCTCGGAAGCCAAGAGCATTTGATCTTCTTAGATTAATTTGGACATGTGAATTTCTAGCCTATGGTAGTGTGCCACGTGGGACCCCCCATTTTTCTGGAATTCTTTCGGCTCTCTATTCTCACTTCTTTCCCATCTCACTCTCAAACTCGCTTTCTCACCGAGAATCAAATCAAACAACAACCATCCCTTCCCGGCGAGTTTACTAAAACAAAACCACCCCTAAACTTCATCCGAACAAACTCTCTAATTCCATGAAAATTCGTGCACATACTCCATTTCAAGGACCTTCATTAGAGCGACTTTCCCGTCAATTTTAGATAGTTTCCAGCCATATTTTAAACTCCAAACAGGTATAATCTTATTCTACTATTCTCTAGCTCTGTTTGTCAAATTTGGTTAAGAAACAAGTGAGTTATAGAGATTTGAAAATCACCTAGATTTTCGGCCAATTTTTCAGAAACTGTTTTGTTTTCCAATGAACCGGGTCCACCCAGGACCTTTGTAGGCTAATTTTGATGTCCCGAATCCATTTTTAACATCCGTTTAGTGAAATTCTAATATTTTAACGTAGTTTCAGTATTGACGACCTAGTTGACTGCCACTTGAAATTGCGATTTCTGGAGATCCAAAAATCCAATGTTGAACTAGGAGGTTACAGATCGAAAATCCAATGTGCAGATCTTCCGAATCAAGTTACGTGGGGTTGTGGAACCTACTGTTGCGAGTTGACTAAAGGTCAACGCATTTCAAATTCTTCTAGAATGTCATAGTGTACAAGCAAGAATTAAGTGTTTTATCGAAAGAATTCTAAAACGAGAGGAGTGAATTGTTCTAGGCGACGATTGTACGTGGATTCTTTGTCTCCAGACTTGGTTTTACAAATGTGTTTTATATTAAAATATTGGTTTTAAATTAAATGTGTTATAGACGACAATTGTACGTGGATCCTTTATACAATCGTCGCCTACAACAATTCACACATCTTTTTTTATAATTCTTTCAATAAAACACTTAATTCTCACTTGTACACGTCCTTTAGGGACATTCTAATGAATTCAAAATACGTTGACACCAAAAGTCAACCCTCGATCAACTGGCAACAGTAAGTTTCACAACCCCATGTAACTTGAAAGATCCGCACGTTGGATTTCCGTTCCGTAATTTTCTAAAATCCTCATTATGCTCCTAAAACAACATATTAAAATTTTATGACGATTCGACGATCAGATCTCTGCATATCGCAATTTCAAGTGTCGGTTAACTAGCCATCAATTCTAAAACTATGTTAAAACATCATATTTTCACTTAATGTTAAAAATGGATTCGGGGTCTTTGGCTAATGAAACCGGAAAAAGTCAACGTTCAACAACGACGAAATATTCCCCAAGGCCCTTAGAATATTCATATTCCAATCTGATTATGTAGCTCGGCCGCAGGTCGGGTCGACCCAGTTCACAGGAAAACCAAACAATTTCTGGAAAATTGGTCAAAATCTAGGTGATTTTCAAATCGTTATAAGTCACTTGTTTCTTAAACAAATTTGACCTATGATATATCATAACGAAGCTAGAGAACAGTAGAACACAATTATACCTGTTTGGAGTCCAAAAAATGACTAGAAACTATCTAAAATTGATGGGAAAGTCACAGCTCAAATGAAGGTCCTTGAAATGGTGTATGTGCACGAATTTTCAAGGAACAAACGCCATAATCGAGTTCGTAGGGACGATAGGGAAGTTTTGATGGTGGTTTTGTATTAGAAGACTCACCAGGAAAATATGGTTGTGTGATATGATTCTCGGTGAGGAAGACAATTTAAGAGTGAGATGGGAAAGAAGTGAGAGACGGGAAGAGAATAGAGAGCCGAGATAATTCTAGAAAAATAGGGGGGAGGGGGGGGGGTGGGTCCAACACACCCATAGGCAAGAAATTCACATGTCCACATTAATCGAAAAAGACCAAAAATTCCTTCGGTTTCCAAGCTTCGTAAAATCTTCGTTATATCCCTAAATTTGAATTTGCTTGCGCCCATGCGATCGCATCGACACATACTATCCAAATATGTAAAGAAATATGGCAAATCACGAAAAGATCAAATATGTCGACGAATAATCCCGTTTAGTTCATTAAGGGTGTTTTCGTCCATTTACTTGTCAAAAAAACCATACACCATAAATATAAACGCGTCAAAACTACGAATACGGAATACGTAATTTTAAAAAGTGAAATATATTCTAGTGGCTATGGAATACGTTTCTAGGTGGGTGCCCATCATGTTGCTACACTTTATCATATGTGCAAATTGAAGTCTCCAACAGGGAAATCAAGCACAACGTAGAAAAAACGGTCAACTCCACTCGCAAGGATTGGAGTTTGAAATTGAATGATGCTCTGTGGGTATACACTATTTGACACTCCGATTGGGATGTTCCTGTTTCGGCTTGTGTATGGCAACCATGTCATTTACCTATGGAACTAGAGCATAAGGTAGGCTATTAAGCAGCTAAATTTTGACTTCGATTTAGCGGATGAAAAACGAAAGTTACAGTTGCATGAGCTTAAAGAAACTCATAATGAGGCTTACAAAGTTCAAGGATTTACACGGACAAGACTTAAGTCTCAATGGGCCATATGTGGTTACTAAGGTTCGCATACGAGTCATTGACTCTGAAGGATCCAATGATTGTTACCTGACTTTTGCTGTGTCTAGCTATAGACGTTAAATTTTTTATTTAACTTTTTCCTTACTTTGTTTAAATTTTTTATTTAAGTTTCAAGATGTTATTTCCGTAAGGTTTATGTTATTTTATTTTCAATATTTTACTTTGTTTCTTTCCTAATTAGTTCTAGTTTAAATTTTGTGTCTTACATTCTGTTTTTAATTTTCAAAAACACTTGGTTCAAAAATTCAGTTTGTGTTCATATTGTGCTGTGTAGAACTGGGTTGGTTAAATAGGTCATGGATTAAAAAATTTGGGCTTTTGCAAGTAGCAAACAAAACATACAAGGTGGGTCCGACTTTTAGCTACAGTGCACATACAGAAAGGTAAAACTGGATCCTGCATCCAGCAGCAAGTCTACATTATCATCAACCACATCAGTTCCACATTATCAATTGGTAGAGAATTTAGCAGTTTAAAGGTCGTACCCAGTGCACAAGGCTCCCGCTTTACGCAGGGTCTGGGAGAGGTGAATGTCGGCTAGCCTTACCCCCATTTTATGGAGAGGCTGCTCCCAAAGAGAATTTAGCAGTTTAAGCAACAAAAATTTCATGCTAATTCTATGTCTCTAAGGTTATCCCTAAACTTGAATATCTAGCAAAGATACATCCTAGGTATTTTTCCAATCACCTCCACAGCAAACAACAGTTATAAAGGGGGGTTTTAGAAAGCATACCAGGGCAATTCTGATGAAGTTTCTGCATTTGGACCCGCTCACTCCACTCAACTCGCTCCCACCCCATAAATTATACATCACTTTAAAATTCCTAGATACACTTTCCAACAGATCGGGGGTCCAAATGCAGAAATGTCCACTATGCTAGTCCGGTTAGTCCAAAGTTTCATCAGCTTTACAGTTTGCTGGATTCTGCATAAACTTTCAGTTAGGATTTCATATGAGCATATAGTTCAACATTTTTGCAATAGGGATGCATTTTTTTCTCCGATTCTAGAATTGTAGTTTAATTGGACACATGCATGGCAGGGTACAGAAAATATGACCAAATAAATTCAGAAAGGTCTGGGCAAATACACTGGCTTTTGGTGTATTCAACTGAGATTTTGAGAGATTATAATTCTTTTTAGAAATCAAAGTGTATTCAATTAGGATTTTGAGTGATTCCCTCAAGAGATTTTGAGAGATTATAACTCTTTTTAACATCTATGCCTTTCATTTCTAACCCTCAAGAGCAGAACTAAGTTCCTACATTGGTTTCAGTGATCCATCTAATAGTAATACCATTGTATATGCTTTCAATAGCTGAAAAATATACCTCATTTTTCCCATAGTGAGCGTAGATGTCATCTATGTGCTCAACAACATTTTCATCCTCTTCCTGCAGTAATCAACAGAAGGTCCCCAGTTAGTCTTCTGATATTTAAAGATGGCAACTTTTGAATAAGAAAACTGCTACTAGTACTAGACAGTAAGACACCCATACCATCCTACTTGGGTGTGCGTAACAAACATTGGCACATGAGCATCACAAGCCTCCTGCTCAATATTCTCCACAGCCTGCGGATTTGCAGCAAATGAACTCACAGACACTTCCTTGGTTTCCTAATTACATGTAACCAATACCAAAAATTGTAATTCGAACTAAAATCGAAAAACCAAAATGTAAACAAAAGATCCTTGTGATCGGTCGAAAAACCCAATGTAAAGGAAAGAACGAATCAAACATATTAAAACATGAACATGGAAAGAGATTCATCAGATTGTAAGAAAACGTCACAAACCTAGGACATTCTTTTCTGGTGATGTTATGGACATCCCTCAGGCGCTGGTCGATGATTCGGCCCAACCTCCCCACCCCAAATTCTCGGACCTTTTCCAAAATTTCAAAGAAAATAAATGCAAACGAGGAACATAAATTTAAAAAAAAATTCAGAAATTGAAAATTACGTTAAATTTACATCCTGGGGTTCTGCTATGTCTCTGACCTTGGAAATTTGAAGGCCTAACAAGAGCTGGGTTGTTCTCCTTTGATCCCATTTCGATCACCTCCAATAGGAAATCACCATCAAACAACAGAAATAAAATTTAAAAAAAACCCCAAATTAAAATTTGAATGAAATCAGAAAAACTCATGATCTAGAACACGAAGAACAATAAGAACACGTCCGAAAATCTGAAACAATCGAAACCCAGAACATTCGAAATTTAAAAAAAAACCGAAAGATCGAAAGAAACCCACAAACCTTGAAGAGAAATCAAGGGACTTGATCAAAGTAAGGCAAATATCAAAGCTTTGAATCTTCAAATTCCCGAGAGAGAAATGAAAGGCATAGGAGCAGCTCTCTCTCTCTCTCTCTCTCTCTCTCTCTGTGCTTCTGTGTTTCTTGTTGGGGTTCTTTAAAAGGGGTTCTTATGCATTAATCAGATTCATTTTCGAAGAGAAAAGGAAAAATAAATTTTGAAAAAAGGGAATTTGGGAGAGGGGCATGTGCTCGTCTCGTTTTGAATATAACGGCTACTAATTCCTGACCGTCGGATCTTAATACTACCGAAAAGTCTCGATGGTCTGTCTCTAACGGCTATCTCTCTTTTGTGCTCCGTGCCCTATTTATTATTTCAAATGTTTTTTGTAGGCCTCCGGCCTTTTTATGGGTTTTTGGTTTTATTAAATGGGCTGGGCCTTTGACCTTTTTGTATCTAATAATAAGCCCGTTAACTACGCTCTGCGCTAATGATTTGGCATTTTCATAGGGTCATTTTTGGAAATTGCCCCTAATCTCATAGAAGCTCCATGTGCCTCACACCAAATTTCTAATTTTACGCACAAAAATCCAACAAAGAAAAATAATAATTTTACCAAAAAAATAAACCTTTATTAAAAAAAAATTCTTCCGTAATTTCGAACCTAGAATATCACGTGCAATAATAATTTTTTAATCATTTGAGCTACAAGCTTTGCTGAACTATTTTCCTATATTTCCATGTCAACCGTAAACATAGAGTGCTGATGGATTCAAGATATTGGAGTTTTTGAGTAAAAATATAATTGTAGCTCATTGTCTTGTATTAATCACCATCAAAATATTTACTCACTTTATAAGACTTTGTATCAAAAAATTTACTCACTTTATAAGACTTTGTCCTCCTTACAAAGTGATTTGAGCGAGGGAGTTTAACACCTAACGAATTGGTGTTGGTTGTAGTTTGTAATTTCAATAAGAAAACGAAAAACATTACAAGAAAAAGGCCTTTCGACAAGCGAAAGATCACAATTTGTCATCATCGTAGGGTCTCAATCTACTAGGACCATATGTAAACTCTCTATGGAAACATAGCCTTGGTATCCGGATCCTCTCTGGATCCTCTTTGTGAGGATCTTAGAAATTTATAAATCATGTCCATTTATCATACATCGTACGGTCAAAAATGAACCGCGTAATTTACAATAAACAGACACAATTCATAGATCTTCAAAATTCTCACAAAGAAGATCATGATGAATATGGTGATTGGAGACACCTTTATAGGATAAACATATTCCATGCAGGTGCATCGTAACTCCTATCTTCAGTATAATTTTTAGAAGTTAACGCATCCATTGCAAAATTAGCTTCCCAAAACACATTGGTTGTAACTTTTATGAATGGCAAACATAAAATAAATCATAAATTATATTTATAAGAGCAAACATAAAAATGAATTTATACAAAATCACTACATAAAAATGTACAAACGAAAATAGAGTGCAAACTTCCTACATACATTTCTTTTTTTTTTCTCGTTTTTTTTCACAATCCAAATTAATTACCTCCGGCTCAAAACCCTACCCCAGCCGCGCCGACTCCCATCGCAGCCTGCCTGTGCGGCTCCAGCTTCCTATTCTTCCAAAAACACGTCTCCGGCGCCGCTGCAAGCTTAGCCGCCGACCTCATCGGCTCGGACTTGCATCGGGTCAGCACGAAGGGCTCATAAGCAGCGGACCCCACCAGCTTCTGCCCGATCATCGTCGCCATCGACTGAACCGGAAATGAACAAGACGACCTAGGCGGCTGCATCGTTATCGGCTGCTGAACCACCGGCGCCAGAGGAGGCTTCGAGTCGATGCTCACCCGCTTCTTCGCCTTATCCGGTCCGTCGATTTTCTTGACGTGTCGTTCCGGCAGGCACCGGATGAAGTCCGTGCTGCACACCCAAGTCTCCTTCGACACCTCCATCGACAGCTTCGGCTCGCACATCATTAACAGCAGGCAGTCCGGTAACACCGACTTTTGACCGGCGTTCTTGGACCCGGCACCCAGTTGGGTATTCGGGTTATCGAGTTCCGGTTCATGTTCTGGCTCCGGTTCGGGTTCGGGTCTATCTACCATCACTGTCTCTGTTTCTTCCTCCGTTGACTCCTCTGCAACTTCAGCCTCTGTTTTCTCTTCTAGTTCTTCCGACTGTACAGAGTCAATGGAAGATTCTGGAACCTTCGCCTCACTCACCTCCTCTTCTCTCTCTTCATCTTCTTCTTGTTCTTGCTGCGCTTGTTCTTCAAGTTCCATATTTTCCGGATCTACGACAACTTCAGTCGAACACGTATCTTCCGACACTGCTCTCTGTCCTGTCGCATCCGATTCTTGTTCCTCATCTTGTTCGAAAAACTCTTCTTCCACTTGGCATTCGACTTTCTCTTCGATCTGTCGCACTTCATCGAAAATTTGCAGACATTTTTCTGGGTTCTCACCCAAATCTTCTTTCAATTCCTCGTCTTCTTCAAAACCCAAACTTTCTAGTTCTTCCAACTCTCCATGCTCTTTGCCTTCTGTAACCCATTCCTCACACTCTCCATCCTCCCGCTCCGCCGCCTCCGCCTCCGCCTCCAACCCAGTTTCCATTTTCTCAACCACTTCTCCAGCACCTTTCTCTGCTTTTACATTACTACCCTCATTGTTCTCCTCTTGATCTTCTTGTTCATTTTCCTCAGCAGCAGCAGGCATCTCCCAGAATCTATTAGCAAGAGCAGCCATTTTAACCGGATCAGATCTACACCTCATGAGCAAAAGAGCATTCTTCGGAGGCGCACAAATACTCACTCTCCCTCCTCCTTCCTCCTCCTCCACTCCACCCTCATTGAATCTCTCTTCCTTGAACTCAATCCCTTCAAACAACTGCCTCCGCTGGCTACGGCCGCCGCTACTATCGCTATCCTTCTCCGTCCTCTCCTGATCTTCCTCCACCACCAGCTCAATCTCCCTCCCTTTCCCGTCCCCGTCTTGCAACGCCACAAACCACCGCGCAAAAACCGCACCGCAAGAAGACGAGCCTCCACCCTCTGACCTCACCTCCTTACTACTACTACTCTCTTCCTTCTCCTTGTCATTCGCCAAACACGAAGACCGGTTCGGAAACAGGCAGTTAAACTCCGACCCAAAAGCCCTCAGGGCCTCGCAAATCGTCAGGGGAAGATGAACCCACCTCTGGTTCCTCTGCCTCAAGCATTCCTGCTGATTTTTACTATGACTACTACTTATCTGGTGATTCGGAAAGTGCAAACCTTGGAAGTTGTTGTTGTAAAGATCTTGACTTTGAGTAGCTGAGTTGTTGTTGGAGCTCTCTGTTCTTCTGAAACTCGCCTCGCTTCCCCTGCGTCTGGATCTGGTAATTATCCTCATTTTCTTGCCCTGTTTCTTGGTCTTCACCCTCACCTGTCCAATACACGTGACTTTAGGGGAGGAGGGTTCTGGGTTTTCGATACCACACCCGCGTTTTTTGTTTGTACCGCCATTCGGGAACATCGGAGAGGCTTGGCCACCCTTGATGCTACCGCTGGTTTTGAGGCGGCGGCTGAGGGAAGAGGAGAGGGAGATTTGGGAGTTAGGGTCTCCGCCTCTGGCGTGGCAGGGGCTGAGGAGGGACTTGGAGGAGAGCTTCATGGATGAGGAGGAGGAAGAGAGGCGGGATGTGGTGAAGCAGATGAAGAGCTCGCTGGTGGATGTACTAGCTGTGCTGCTGCTGCTTTTGGTGCGATGGGGTCTCTGATCTGACTCCATTGTTTCTACTCATTCTAACTTTTTACTGAGCTGTGGATGTGGCATTAGCATAAACAGAGGACGATTGGCTGTGAGGTGAGGTGAGGTGAGGTTATGATTGATGAAGATTTGTTTGGTTTGTATGGTGGGTTATGCTGCTGCAGAGAATAGAGAGAGAGAGAGAGAGAGAGAGAGAGAGAGTTATTGGTAATGGAAGGGTGACAGAATGGAGTTTGTCTTTATCATAATGTAACCGAGTAATGTAAGGATCTGGTTACGTTGGGCCTCTCCTTGCCGTGCATGCGTTATAATTACATCATAATAATACCCTTGGTGTTGTTTACACCATATAAAGGGTAGTGCTACTCATATTTTTACTTCTTACACATTCTTATAAATTTTTAATCATTAGATTAAATTAATTGAAGAAAATCAATATCCAAAATTAATAAGAATGGGAGGTAAAATGAGTGTGTGAATAAGGGTGAGGAGGTAAAATGTGGTACAAATGTCATTTAGTTATTTTTTATTCACTTATAAGTTAAAGGTTTGAATTTGAATCTTATAGACGATAGTTTGATAATACATTCTCTCTGTAGTGTAAATAAATTATTCATAAAAATTGCGAAGCAAATATGTTATAAGTGTAATATTGCTTTCATAGAATATCACTTTAGATGTTACGATGTATTGTGTAGTGTGTAGGTAGATGGATAGTTGGAGTACTTCATAGGTTGGGGTGTTTTAACACTTGGGTTACTTCAACTCTGAGGTACTTAAACTCTCATAGAATATCAATCCAAGTGTTATGATGTGTTGTGTGTCGGTAAATGAATAGTAGGAGTATGTAGTATTTTTGATGTTTTAATCGTTAAATTTTTATTTAAAAGTACAAAAATTAAAACCTAACCATTAAGAAACCCAAAAAAAATTGGAGTCAGCATGCACGGGGTTTTAGCTTTTTAGATTTCGCCTTTAGGTGGAGAATCTTGGTATGCAAATGTGAAAGTCGAGGAAAAGAAAAGAGAGTCCACCAAAGATAGGCGAAAGAACGAGTAAGTTTCTATCCCTTCCTATTCTTATTCCTTTTCTCTTCTCTTTTTACATTTTATTTGTTGTCTTATTTTTTCTATAAAAATTAAAAAAAAATTAATATAAGATGGTAACGTGACTTAATCATAACCATTCAAGTAGAAAGAGATAGAATGGAAGAAAGATTAGAAGGAAAAAGAATCATCCTCCGCCAAACAAATCAAAAAGGGGGGGGGAATGAAAAGTACGTACCTCATAGTTCATGTTGATTAATGGTATTACCACTTTACTCTAATAAAGTAACATAATAAGCATCTTTTATAAAAAGCCACATTACTCATTTACTATAATCTCAATAATAATTCCACAAAGCATTTCGACAACTATTTGTCATGAAGTTATTAGAAAGTGGTGAGATTTGTTGGTTGGACGTGGTCCTGTGGATAGCT